TATATATATATATATATATATATATATATAAATTATTCAATGTTAGTGGAGCGCCATTTTTTTCCAGCTTTCTAAATGCATGTTTTAAAGTATGTAACTCAGAGAATTGAACCAAGGAGACAACCTCCTCTGATTTATTACTGTCGCTTTTAGCGAAGCAGTTTTATCGAGTGAAGTTTGCACAGAAGTTGTAAATATATCAAGAAGATTTGCTCTATTCTTTGGTCAGTAGTTTACTATCACCAAATCATGTACAATAACTGTCTATTGTCATGAGTCTTTGCATTTGTTAGCAAAATATCTAATGAGCCACTGGATGGATTTTAATAACATTTTCAGAACGTAATAATGAAATAAACATGTACAGTACAACAATTCAACTCCTGAAGTCAATTTGATTAAAGGTGGCTGCCACAGTGTTTAGCCAATTCAAAAATGAGTGCCAAAAATTCAAAAATGTGATCAGTGTTCCGATCAATGAACTACAACTTGGAAGTAGCTGAGAGCCACACATACTCTGAGTGTAAGATTGCACATGTTTTATTCAAGCTTTGTCCAAAATGACTAAAACGCCATCATTTTTCAACATAAGATGATCTCAGTCTACAACTCTGGCATGAAAGGGAGTGTGTGTGAGTGTGTGAGTGTGTGCGTGTGTGGGGGTCCCTACAGTGAATGTTAGGTCTTAAATTTAATTCAGTATTAAAGTGTGGTTTCACCTATACTTGCCTGTCTCTGTACATTTCTCAGCATTTATATCCTTAATTATTTTCCTTCCCTGAGTTTTGTGACAAAAGTATTACATGCAAGAAAACAGAAATTAATAAATAGGTAACAAAACAGAAACCTAAAATAATGTTACATTGAACTGCAACATAAAAAATGATGGAAAGTAAAACAAGATGACAAAAATAAACAAAAAGCCCCACAAATACCCAATTTACAATTTTACAGTTCTTCTTCTGGTTTGTTATCAGTAAAAAAACAAGTGTCATTAAATACTTTGGCCTAAACCTACTGAACTTTAAACACTGTTGTTAAAATGGTCTCAAAGCAATCATAAATGCTTGAGGAATTACATTTCATATAATACATTAGACTTAGAGTACTAGAAGTTCTAAAACAAAACAAACAAAAACCACTGCCTGCAGGGAGGTCAGACTCTGTCTTGACTGAATTGTCTGGCTCAGTCAAATATCATTAAAATAGAGTGGAGAGCCATGCAAATCATCTGTCAAGGAAACAAGACAGCCGACAAACTTTAAACTCTGATACAATTCATGTTTTTCAGCATTGACGTTGGTCAAATTCTCTGAGAATTTCAATTAAATTAATGCAGCAATCCCTCGATACTTCACGGTTCGTTTTTCGCAGACTTGCTCTTTCACGGTTTTTCAAAATAAGTTTAGACATGACACACAATTGGTTGATTGATGGATAAGCCGTGCGATCAGCATGGAACTTTTATTTAAAATAAATAATTTTAAATTATTTAGCACTGTGTGCAGCCCGCGGCTGAAGAAAAAGCTTCCTCCTACACCTGTGAGCAGCTCACATTGCAGGAGAAGCTTCTTCATGCAGCGTGTCATCTCCGCTCTGCAATGGGGTAAGTGGGCGTGGCCAAAAGCACTAGGCAAAGAACTGAAAGCATGACATTCTGTGCTCTGTTAGAGAGTGTTTCAAGTTTAGAAACATTGTTTTGAATATTGCAAGAGTGTGGGAAGGATTTAAAACGCCTTATATATATAAAAAAAATTATATATATATATATATATATATATATATATATATATATATATAT